CAGAAAAGAGACTCTGAGATTAAAAATCTCTTTTTCAGGAGTGGCCAAGACAGGAAACAACACATTAAACGTTCCCAAAACACAAATAACTCATTACAAAGATAGATCAGAAAAATCAACAACCCATAATCATTTGAAACACTGACAGTTTTACCCACTTTCACTGTTTGAAGAATGTTTTGAAAACGACTGAATACAACAGGATACAATTCCCTCCAGTTTAGTCTTTCTATAACAAACTCCATTCAGACGGTGCAGCATGACTAAAACCTTAATTCAACATGTACGGTGGGGATCTTAAGAAGATACACAATTTGAGAGCGCAGATTATAATTCCCTGTTTCTTTGTGATACACAAGATTACACAGATAAGAAGGTAATAAACCAAGCACAGATTCATAAATTAACATATGACACTATACAAACTTACGCTGCTCACTAAAGCCCATTTCACACCAGATGCGACGCAGACGCGTGTTGATCCGGAACCACTCCACTAGCAAGAGCGGCTGCTATTTGTGTTGCGTTTTCACGTAATATAAACACCCGTATAGTCCTGTTAATACTAATATAAACCTTATGTAGATGACAAAGAGATCAACAATAAATTCCTGACTAGCTGCTGTGACTGTGTTACTGGCTTTCTCACTAGGTGATGTAGCTCTATATAAGAGGAGGAGGCGCCTGTGTGTTCACTACATTAACCTACTCAAGGGATTTCAGTCAACCTGACTGAGTTAAAACTAGATTTGCTGATCTGTTTATTAGCCTAGATTGTATATAATAGTACAGACGTGCGGCACCGCAGCGGTCACGGGCGCAGCCAGCGTGAAAGACTACACTGATTAATATAAGAGCGTCATGCGGCACAGTTATGCGTCTGGGGTAAAATGGGCTAAACTCTCCCCACCAACCTTCAACCAGTTACCAGTCACGCCCAGTTGAAAGTAACTTTACCTATGTGATGCAAAATCACACTGATTTCAAGTCTGACTCCTGCCAGAAAATAAAAACTTAATTGTTTTACTAGCTTTTCACTCCATTTGAAATGATGTTTAGGACTAATCTGACTTTGGTTAATAATCAAGCGCACTTATAAAGATGAGAGTTTTAATATTTGCTTATAACTTGTTTATCCAACTTCTGAAGCCGCCAGACATACTGCTACGTATAAAAATGGAGAAAAGAGTTTTGTCAAAATGAACCGTTTTGTTGTCACAATGCACAAATCAATCAGACCACAAAATGAACTACAAACAAACCTTGGGAGGTGATCTGATCTCGGTTCATTTTCGGGCTCGTTTAGAGGGGTCTGAGTTCGGTTCGTTTTTGGGGTCGTTTGGAGGGGTCCGAGTTCGGTTAGTTTTCGGGGTCGTTTGGAGGGGTCTGAGTTCGGTTAGTTTTCGGGCTCGTTTAGAGGGGTCTGAGTTCGGTTCGTTTTCAGGGTCATTTAGAGGGGTCTGAGTTTGGTTCGTTTTCAGGGTCATTTAGAGGGGTCTGAGTTTGGTTCGTTTTCAGGGTCATTTAGAGGGGTCTGAGTTTGGTTCGTTTTCAGGGTCATTTAGAGGGGTCTGAGTTTGGTTCGTTTTCGGGGTCGTTTAGAGGGGTCTGAGTTCGGGTTCGTTTTCGGGGTCGTTTAGAGGGGTCTGAGTTCGGTTCGTTTTCAGGGTCATTTAGAGGGGTCTGAGTTTGGTTCGTTTTCGGGGTCGTTTAGAGGGGTCTGAGTTTGGTTCGTTTTCAGGGTCATTTAGAGGGGTCTGAGTTTGGTTCGTTTTCGGGGTCGTTTAGAGGGGTCTGAGTTCGGTTCGTTTTCGGGGTCGTTTGGAGGGAAAATTATGACCAATATTCTATGGTGCATGTATTGTGATACTGAAATGGTGGTAAAGGTCTACATATTGTCTAGTAACTCCTCTCCAGTCAGTGACGCTGAATTTCTGAGCTAATTTGAGACTGACTATCACACTGCAGACACTCAAAATGTTAAGTCCTGCCATCCTCTCAGGATTAGAAAGCTGAGGAACCCAGCTGAGCATGAGGCTTTGGCTGACCTCCCCTCCTCCGCTGCATTTGGGTCTAAAGGTGCAGCCACAGCTCACTGACCCCTGGGCACCCTCAACAGCAATCTCCATATTCATGAAATGATAATGGCCCAGTAAACAAGTCCGAACTGTGAAACTCAAGTGTAATGCGCCAAACTCTGAGCGGATCCTAAGCGAGGAGACACTTGAAGGATATGACCCGTGAACCTGAGCTCATCTCCAGCAGACACGGATGCAACTTGAGCGCTTAGTTAAAATGTTAAACACAGTGAATCTAGGGGACAGAAAAAAAGAGCAAGCTATCCAATTTGTGTGACAAAACACAAAACTCTCAAACCCTTAAACACTAATTTACATTATAATTCTGTTATATCTGCTCAACTTTTGGAAAGGAGCAAGAACGAGGGACATTAGGCTGGGTTTCAAATCTAGCTGTACTTTAAGGCAGTGTTTATTTTAGTTCTTTTTCTTTTAGTCATAGTTTGAATCTTTTCACAAAAAAAACTACAATTTAGTTTATTTTTTAGCAATGTCATATTGATCTGACTAAAAACAGACACAATGCCAAGTGTCGGTTATAGGGGTATAAAGCCCCCCAGCACTGGGCTGTGGAGCAGTGAAACTGCACTCTCTGGATTGACGGAGCTCCATCCGGTGCCTCTGGGATGAGTTGAAGTGACCCAGAACTGACCATCCAACATCAGTACCTGACCTCACTGATGCTCCAATAGAGTAGAGGCCGTTACTGCAGCAAAGGAGGACAGACTCACTATTAACACCCTTCATTTCAGAAGAAACACTGGAGGAGCAGGCGTCTACAAACTTTTGGACACTATGGTAGCTAAACCGCTCATGTTAGCCAGTCAGACAGCTCTGGTTTCTCTGCTTTCCATCAGAAAACAGTAGTTAGCTAAGGGTGTTTTCACTTACAGCTCTTTTTAAATGAACCGAACTGAGTTCTGTTGAAGTGAACTTGAAAGGGAACCAACTGCAAACGACCTCAGTGCATTCTGTGTTCACATTGCAAGTGAACTTTAAAGAGGACTCTGTTTTCTATCTGGTCCTCTTTAGCACTGATGAGATTTCAGACCACAACTTCATTAGAACTCAGACCCCTTTTACACCACTCACGGTGTGCGCAGTGTTCGCAAAGTGGGCAGCGATCTCTGATAAATCTAACTTTTCAGGAGGCGAAAGAAACTACTAGACACGTCTGCTGCTCTCCTATTGGCCGCGCTGAAACAACTGGTCAAAGCGCATCGCACGAAACTGAAAATGACCCAGCGTGTCTTCGCCGTGCTCGTCGTCGATCTCAACCCGCTGAAAATCCAAGTCTGTGGTGAAAATCAGGAATTTGAGCAGCGGTGAATTTTCACTCATTCAGCGTTTAGTGTGAAAGCATCTTAAAGCTCTGCGTTGCGATGCCCAGAATCAGCCTTTTACACGGTTAAATCACACAGTGGCGCTTCAATTTGTCGGCACTGCTGTCTTGTCACAAGATCACAGACAGGCTTTATCCTATGATCCTTGGTGGTCTGTTTTACCCGCTAAAGTGCTGGAAGACTGTGGTTGTGTACGGTAAGCACTGAGCTCTTTACCATGAAGCACAAGCAGACTGGGGCTGTTTTGTTGTCACAATGCACAAATCAATCAGACCACAAAATGAACTACAAACAAACCTTGGGAGGCGATCTCGGTTCATTTTCGGGGTCGTTTGGAGGGGTCTGAGTTCGGTTCGTTTTCGGGCTCGTTTAGAGGGGTCTGAGTTCGGTTCGTTTTCAGGGTCGTTTAGAGGGTCTGAGTTCGGTTCGTTTTCAGGGTCGTTTAGAGGGGTCTGAGTTCGGTTCGTTTTCGGGCTCGTTTAGAGGGGTCTGAGTTCGGTTCGTTTTCAGGGTCGTTTAGAGGGTCTGAGTTCGGTTCGTTTTCAGGGTCGTTTAGAGGGGTCCGAGTTTGGTTCGTTTTCGGGGTCGTTTAGAGGGGTCTGAGTTCGTTTGTCCAGAAACTATGAGTCAGCGGTCTGAGTCCACTTCAGACACTGAAACAGTTGCATTAAGGCAGCATCTACAAGTACACAGTACAGCCGTTCTGGCTTCTTTGGACAAGTTACTGTTTGATCCAGCAGCTAACAGGCTAACAGATTTCGCCAGTAATATTCAGAGACTGGCTTCAAGCTCACTGTTTTACTGAAGAAGTCACTGAAAACAACACTGCTCCAGTTGTTGTTATATACTTCAATTGTTCAAGTTTGAAGCTGGACTGGCCACATGGAGCATTAAAACCAGTCCTACACCTCTGTAAGGAAGGTGTACGGCGCAGTCTCGGCGCAGATTCGTACCCTTTATTTGTTTTTTAGATTTTTACCCAATTTTCTCCCCAATTTAGTCACAGCCAGTTCCACCCACTAGCTAAGTGTCCCCAGTCACACAATACTAACAAGCTGAAGGCTAGCACATGTTTCCTCCAAGACCCTCAAAGCAGCACCACTTCTTTTCAAACTAGTGCTAACACATCATCATTGTACAGCTCAACACACTTGGAGGAGAACACTAATGCCTAATTCTGTTACTTCAGCTAACAGTCACCCATGCTGAGTGGTGGGAGAAGAGGGAGACCAATAATGCTCTCTTGGACTCCCAGTCAACGCTGTTCGAGACTGAACTCACATCCTCCTGATAACAGGGCTCATGTGGTTACACCATTTAGGAGCCCTCGCTGTCATTATCCTTGACGAAATTAAGAAACCGGTCAATAAGTAGGTTTATCAGGAATATCAGTGACGAGATTAACGCCACGCCCAAGAACTTTCTGAGATCGTAAGCAATGCTGAACACAAACTTATCAATACAAAATCAGTGATAATGACCCCACTATGACTAACAGAACTGTGAGATCAGCAGCAGCTCTGATCTGCAAACCTCTGGCCATTGTTTCTTTAATCAGCAGAACAGACTGTGATCTTACCAGGCTTCTGTTTCTCTGTATCTTGCACCCCCTCCGATGCCGGCCCACTGCAGGTCTGGACTGATTCTGTGCTGTGAATCTGAACAGGTTCTGGCTCTGCGTCCGATGGAGCCGGCTGCGTGGCTTCCTCAACCTCCATGTGCATTTCTACCTCCTCCTGCAGCGGCTCTACGTCCATGTGCAGCGGGCCTGGCTCAAAGCCAGCATGTTTACACGCTGAACAAACGTAATCCTCTCCAGCCTGGACCTCCACATGACCTTCCACCTGCCGCTCACAGTCCAGATGGAACCACCTGGAGAACCGAAAAATGAAGGAAAAATTACTCCCACTACAACTACTACTACTACTACTAATAATAAAATTTATTTTTCTACAAGTATACACAATTTTTTAAAAAACAAGTAAGAAAAAGCAAGCATTGTTATTATTTAATAATTTAATTTAATATTATTAAAAATTATTTTCACAATACATAATTTTTAGAACATAATTAAGACCAAAACCATTGTTATTGCCTTTAATTTTTCTAGAAAATACATAAAGATTTAAAAATGATTAACAAAACAACCTGTATTGTTATTATTATAACATTATTATGATGATAATATTACTACTAACAGTTAATAAATTTATAATCATTAAGTGCCTCAAAATCTCTCAACACATGACAGAGCGGTGCAGCAAAGCAAAGGACATGAAAACAAAAGATATGTATATATATAAACCAGTCCTGCATGAGATCCAGAGAATGATGCTTAAGTCCCAGCGGACATAATTAGGAAAAACATCCGAGGAAGCACTTCTAAAGAACCCGCTCCGCTGAGAGGACAGTAGGCGGCCAAACAGTAAACCAAACGAGCCAAAGCGAGCTGAGGGAAAGTGGCCGCTGTGGGTGTGTTTGAGGTGTTTTACCTTTTGCAGTGCTGGCAGGACAGGGGGTCTTTGTGGATTTCGGGGTCCAGGCTGACGGCACAGAGAGCGCAGTGTGGGGTGGAGTCCTGCTGGCCGGCGCAGTTTTCACACAGCAGGCTGTTGTGATGCCACTGACTGCTGCTCCGCGTGCCGCACTGGACGCAAACCCGACAGTTCTGAAACAGATCAGACGTGATGCTGTCATACACACTTACAGCTGCTTTTAGGAGAGCTGGTACAGAAACACTCAGTTTAAATCAGACTGCACCTCACACAGGACAGCCGGGGTGCGTTTCACAAATAAGGATTGATCGGTTAGTCAGACGATTACAGATAAACGAAGAGTCTATTATTTTAATCAGACTATACAGGGTGATTCAAAAACATTCATCTGATTACAAAGCGCCAAATTTTTTACAACCGTGAGGCGCCTAGGAACCAATCACAATCCAACTGAAAGAGGGGGTCACAGAGTTTCTGACTGGCTCCCTTCAGTCTGAGAGGAGATGAGACCCCTGAGCAGAAAGCGTTCTGCGTTCTCCACTTCAATAAGAGTGAATCCGTCATAACTGTGCAGTGTGATTTTCGTGGGCAGTGAAGCTCCAACAGCTCAGAGCGTTCGGCGTTGGTTCCACAACACTGGATGATCTCCGAAATCGCACTGAAAGAGCCGTGAGTGCAGCGACACCCGACATGCTCAATCCAGTATGGGATGAGTTTGACTATGGCGTTGATGTTGTCTGTACAGCTGGAGGAGGTTCATACTGAGACCTTGTACAATTACATAATAATCTTTATGCTCATTTAAACCGTTTACAGTTTACTGCATTGATCTGTAATGATTTACAAGTGAAATAAATCATTTTGAAATCAGATGGATCTTTAGGAATCACCATGTATGACTGACAAAAGACATCCAACTGCAGAAGGTATGGTTAGTCGACTCACTGAATGACAGTCAATAGACCAACTATAGAAATAATTGTTAGCTGCAGCCCCGTTCACCAATGTATTTTTAATAAATTGCTTAACACATATTATATGACCATACTGTCACTAATATAACAAATCTCTGAAAGAGTAACTTTAAAGGAGAAGAAAAACAGCATTCTCAAAAATTGTACTGGTCGATTTATCATGATATAGTTGTTGTCAAAACTGTGTAAAAAAATAAAAACCAAAAAAAAATAAAATATTATTTTGTCTCTAGTATGCAGTCCTGGTGAACACAATTAGCTATAAAGCTAAATGCCCCTGTAGTTTTCCCTGAATTTTACCTGCAAACTTTTATGTGAAACATATTTCTGTATGAATTCTTCACCGGAAAAAAAAAAAATTGTATACAGATGGAGCGATACCACTTCTTCCAATGTCGATATTGAAACCTTGAGAATTGACTGATACCGATACTGATCCAGGACTTTCTGGCCGATTCCACCTTATCAAACCTTTGAAAAACTAAATATGGAAATATGCATGACTTATCATAAGAAAGTCTTCAAGTATCGTGACATTTCGTCCATCCACCAACTACAAAATTGGCTATTTTTAATTGAAACACTTAAGATGAACATCTGAATGAACGATGCTCAAACTGCTCAAACACTCTACAAACCTAATGACATGAAACACCGTATTAAAGATTTGACACAGGACTGGATCGGATTCATTCTTCACTCGTTTTTTGGGCTTCGATATCCCATCCTGCATTTCCACAGATATCGGCCTAATAAAAATACCCAGTGTCAGATCAATAACATCTATGTATGTCTAATTTGTTCTTACAGAAACTGTATGTGTAATTTGTTACCAGAACAGTGAAGTGGGCGCATTTTTCACACATTCCACCTGATCGCCATGGATACCAGAAAACCTCAGGGAAAGCGAAAGTAACCGGAACTGCTTTTTTGTAAAATTTAAGTCTCTCGATCTGTTCCACCAAAACACCTGAACTGCTGCAGTGACACAGTTGTAGTTTCGAATTGCCGTTTTATAGTCACACATTTCAGATGTTTAATCAGGGAATTCAGCAACTGGCCAATGGATTCTATCATAATAAAGGTCTGTGAATGGGTTTTCTTTTGCTCTCTATTCCTGTCTGCTTTACTGAAAAAGCCCTCAGGTTTTGTACTGTTTTATTCGTACCTTACACCTCCAGCCATTGGTGGGGATGGAGTCCATCACTGGCTGCAGACAGAACGTGTGATAGCCTTTATCACACATGTCACACACCAGCATCTTTGTGTCCTCTCCAGGGTTTCTGAGGAAAAAAGACAGCAACACGTCAGCCCAAAATGCTTATGTACATACATACATACACATATATACATACATACACACACACACCCACACACACACACACACACATATATATAAGTCTACATGAGTCAGACAGTAATCGGATTTCTGCTTTGCAACCAGCCAACAATCTCACAGAAGAAGACGCGACGTAAACGTAACGTAAAACTCAAACTTCATGCTGCAGCTTTTTTTTTAAACATCGCGCCGCTTTACCCGAAAATATGAACATAAATCATCTAGAAGATGAAGAATACTTATATCCTTCAATTCATGTTTGGTTTCAGTGTCGCTCGAAAAGTGTTTTGCTGTGGCGACGCTGCTTGGTTATTTCCGGTACCACTGTCTGCTCTCGCGCAGGCGCAGACTGAGAAATCCAACAATCCAAGTAAGAGTTTACATGCGCTGAGAAATCTGATTAGTGAGCTAAAATCCAGCCTCTTCATCGGATTTCTAGATCGGAGGATGGTGTTTACATGACCATTTGAATAATCGGATAAGTGCAGAAATCCGATTATGATTATGATTGAGTGCATGTAAACGCATTCAGTTTGGAATTTCTGAGCTGATGACAATAAACAGTTAACATATTGATGAGGCCGATGTAACCGAACATATTGATGTAATACGATGGATGCTAGCTGCCTTGTATTCTTTAGGCTGCATGCATCACTGGTTCAATCAACCGGATAACTTAAGACCAACGTCATGAGTGTCCAATCAGTGTAGACCTAGGAGATATTTCTACTGGGCAAGTCTGTGAAATAAAGCACTTTATGCTATGGCCGTCCATGTAATACACTCCATTATGACAGACAGTAACATGGTCAGGAGTAACTGTCCCAACAGTGAACTATCTGCACAATGAATAAGACCAGCTGCTCTTCTTCTAAATGTCTAAAAATTTAAAAAGAATTAAAAATTCAGACTCTTCCCTACATTCTACCTTGTTTATTTTTACAGACACAAATTTTCAAAAAATGTGCAAAAATTATTCACTGTCAAAAATGTTTTAACATCAGGGCAGCTTGTAGGTCAGCTGGGACCTGAGCTAAGCGCTGGATTACTAATGACCAGAGTCACAAACGAATGGTTAAATAAAACCCACTTTATTGGGTGTAAAAGGCTAAAGAGGAGGCGCAAAAGTCTGGACGGCATGCGAAACAGGAGGGCAGGGTTTGGTTGGCTCAGTGTACCCAGCTGGCCCTGGTAGCCAAACAGACCAGCCAAAAGGCAAAATCCTGCCTGGTGCCAGAAAGTATGTGTCTCCATAGACTTTCATTCAAAATGACCTTCACAAATTCTGTCACTTTCTTTTATTCTAATTCTTTTGCCAGTGATCATTTGGTTTTGGGGGGCAAAAGCAGTTCATCATGCTTTCTTTATCTCCTGGCTTGGGCACGTGTGCAGAGCAACAACGCAGCTTGACTGTCATCATGTCTTCAGAGGTGAAGATGGTGCCATCTGCCAATCAGCATTGTTAGCATGTCACTTCTCTGAATTTCCAATGTGGCAGCCATGCGAAAATTATGACTACTTCATTGTCTCTAATTCCGGTGCTAACAGAAAGCCCTCGCTAAACAAAGACAGCCGTGTCCAATACGTGTGCTTCTGGACGTGCATGTGGCACCGGGCAGATTCCACTGAAATGAACAGTGCTAAAGCTAATGACTCTCTCCATGGCCTATACCACCGCCATGTAAGGACACGGAGATGCTGTACAGTGGAAGTGGACGCTGGGATGCTACTCACTTGCATGTCTGGCAGACTTTGCATTCCGGGCACTGCCAGCCGGCCCTTTTCAGAGGGGTCACACTGATGTCCAGACACAGGCCGTGGTAATGCAGACCACAGCTGGTGCAGAACAGCTGGTCCAGGAGGTCCCCTGAACTGTCACACAACACACAGTTCGCTTCCTCAGCAGCTACAAGACAGAAAGAGAGGTGTGACAATGAGTGACGAACTCAGGACGGCAGCAGAATTAATTAAATCAACTGAATTAATTGAAATTCAGATCCTTAAATGGTGCTAAATTAAGGATATGTTTAAGGATAAACGGGTGAGAACTGAGTACAGATAAATACTACCACGTGATATTTTTTACCTCTCCTTTGAGTATATCTGTACGGAAAGTAATCTATTCTTCTCTCAGTTCTATTTCAGCCCTTCATATTTAGTCCCTAATTCCTTTCTTGGGTTTAGTCTCACTTTTATGTGTTGGTTCAGCTCCTGGACTGTCCAGCATTTTATTTTAGACCAAAAGAATCCACAAAGAGAAGAACACAGCATAACAAACTTCAGTTCCTATGGTAATGCTGAATGTACCAAGATGTTCCACTGCTGTTTTACTGAGAAATCAATGTTTTTAAACTGTTTTTGCCTTTTTTGCTGAAGTTAGTTGTTGCTAGGCTACTTTTACTTCTACTTCAGTCTTTTTTTTCCATTGCGGTCACAATACTTTTTCTGGACAATGGTTTTAGATTCCTCTAAATGGATGCTTGACACTGTACAGATCTACATCCTAGAGAAAAGAAATATATTTATTATCTCTCACATTAGACTCTGAATCTGTGCTTTCTTTGCTTTGCTCTACCGCTTTTCATTGCTACTTCCCAGCACAAACCAAGCGGAAAAAAATCTGTGTTTATTGCTGAATCATCACTTAATAAGGGACCTGAACGCTCGAGCGAGAAAGGAAGAGACGTGCAGTTTCCTTACATTTGCTGACTGCCAGGTGGATGTGCTCGGTGCAGAGGACAGAAAGCTTCCTGAAATCCTGGAAGGTTCCGGCGCCCCCCGCACACGGGTAATGGTACGAGTGGCCACAGCCCTCCTCACAGCACTTGATGGATGCTCCAAGGCGCTTACAATATGCACAATGCTAGAGAGAGAGAGAGAGAGACTGAAGTAAATGTTCCCAAGAAAGAGAAGCACAGCTGATAGATTAGTAATTTGACTTTAAAGTAAATTCATAGAAACATAAATTCTGTCAGAAGTTTGGGGACACTTTACTACAAATGGGCATGTTTTCTTTGCCAGTTTGCAATAATTTAACATTTTAAATCCTAAGCAGGTTTATTTAGAGCAAAGCAATATCATAGGGCTGGGCGAAATAACCAAAAAATGTTATTATGATACTAAGTTTCATCGGTCGATATCGATAATTATCACGATAAATGACGTCAGTGATGGATCACACCGCCTTACTCCTATCACTCCTTCCACATCCATGTCAGAGCACATCACAGTATTTAAACACCAGCTAACAGATGTCTGGATTTCTCTATCCTACTGTAGTAGTTTGAGGGGTGGAAGAACCACAACATATCTGACGCTGACTGTGTGGTGGTATTAACTGCAGTGTGAATCTCTCGCACCAGAAAAACAGAGTCCTCCTTTTACGTATGTTTAAACTGAAATCAGTGCTTGTTTGTCTTGTTTCATCACTGAAGTTCACTACAATAACATCAGATTGCTGCTTCAAGTTACCCAGCTGCTAAAATCTAGGCTGAGAAGCCTATGTTCTCCCACTCTCCCATGCCACACATACAGCATCCTCAGTTTACTTTCGTTAAAAACCAGTGCTGTAACTGGCACGAACCCACTTCTTTCTTTCACTTTTGTTGCTTGGGAATGCACTAATACTAAAACACACTGTTTGAGTGCTGTAACACAGTAACACGGAGCACTTCAGATGTAGTTGTGAGGAGCAGACATGATTTAACGCTGCTAAAGCTTGTCAGGATGTTGGGAAAGAAGCAAGTTCGCCGTAGGACAGTACAGCTACGCCACTTATCTGGTCACTTACACTCGGTCACAGGAGAACAGATCGCCGACCACTCCACTCAAACAAGGAAGGTATAACCCACGTTTACGTCCTTTCCCCACAATTATCCCCCAATTTAGTCGTATCCTATTAGTTAGGACTCCCCCAATCACACAATACAACCAGCGCTAGGAGGGTGAGGGCTAGCACAGACTTCCTCTGAGTCCTGTGAAGCGCCACCACATCTTTACAAACTGCCGCTCACGCGTCGTCACTGGACAACTGGACAGCTGAACACGCTGGGAGGAGAACGCTAACCAGTAGTTCTGTTGCATCAGCTAACAGACGTCTGCGCTGCCTGGATGGGGGGGAAACGGGGGTCCATCCTACCCACCCAGAGAGCGAGGCCAACTGTGCCCCTTCCACGGACGGCTGTAGCATCACCAGGGATCGAACTCGCCATTCCCTGATGACAGGACCAACACTTAGATGGTTGCGCCACTGCAACAGCAAACCGGCCTACCTGTCCGTGAAAACCACGCTGTCCACGCTTTTAAAAGTTTTAGAGACCCCTAGTGAATATGTGCTTTTAAGAACAGTTAAATAAAAAAAAGGCAAAACCTTGACCAAAGGGTTAAAGCTGAGTGCTGAAGGTAAACATACCTTAAGGATTAGCACATGCTTAATGCTGACAAATAATACAAATAAGAAAAAGAAAAAAAGAAAAAGATGTCTCTAAACCTTCAGCTTTCCAAGACACACTACATGTGCTATGACCAAACGCTATATACAACCCTCCAGCTTTACGCAGACGGCCAGTCAGCCAAGCACCAAAACCCTATGTGGTCAGAACACTGTCTAGCGAGTACTATGCCTGCGACCACAATAAGGGCAGCCTGACTGGGTCTGTAATTGCTCCGCCATGTTAGCGGTCACTCTAATCTTAATTACTCTCTACAAGAGTCTGAGCATAGCCACCATCTGTACTTCACTGCTGTACAGACTGGAGCTGATTTAGCCTGAGGCTCCAATTTGTACATAATATATATTTATGTACAACGCTACAATATTGTCAGACGCGCTTGGACGAATTAAAACCGTGTGAATACAAAAAGATGCACTTGTGTGAAAGAACTTTGTGTGTAGTGTGTATATATTTATTCAAATATTATTCTCGCTGTACGGCAGGTGCAGTATCATTCACTTCCCCACTGCTCAAGCCATCGGCGCAGTCATGTGAACAGGGAAGCAGGCTAAGTTCTGGGGTTTATGGTACTTGCAGTTCGTCAGGTAGTTCAAACAGTACAGAACTCATCCAAATGTTTGTAAACAAACGGTCTCACAAAAATGCCCAAAGGTTGTTTGGTTTGAAGCTGTAATTTCCTATGTGCAGTCAGCTACGATTTGAGATTTTACTGATTGTCTACTGAAAGAAATCACCCAAAAATGCCTTTGAGTTTAGATACTAAGGCAACTCCTGCTGCACTACTGCATTTGCTATCTTTAGCCTTGTAGAATGAATGGATTAAGTCAAATCTCACACACTGAATTAAAAACCTTTTCCTTCAGGTAATAAACTATTTTGCGTAACGTTTTGAAATCTGTGACAGAAACCACACGCAAAATCCTGCCGCTATAGGTTCATAAGAGGGTTTCGCCTCTTAACGATGCACAAAAAAGCTACTCAGGTGTCTTGTGGAGAATCAGAATCATTGTGGAGAAAGTAAATTCTGTATATTACAAAATAAACATTGATTTAATACAAAGCTTTCACACTGCCGCAGCTGTCGGAGCAAAACCTCTTATCTCCTTTTTTGTTTTTCAGTTTTGATGTAATTTGAAAATGCCCGTTTCCCTTTACAATATGTGTAAATTTCATGAAGAATGGACCAACAGAAGAGGCCAAAATATACTTAGAAAAAAGTCTGGTTCCATTGACTTACATTAAAAGTAAAGTAGGTTTTTGCCTTCTCCTGTAAAGTTACCGTTTAGGAGATATGAGGTACTTTTTAGAAGAATTATCATGCAGTTTTTATTTCAGTGCTACAAAATTTTCACATGTGCTACAACTAGAACTTTTCTAGCATCAGCAGTACCTGCTCAAAAAGTTAACTTTCAACACTGTTATCTGGTTTCTAATTAAGCAAAGAAACACGAGAGGGAGTGTTATCGTGAAATAACATCACGGCTGTGATTTGGTCGCCGTAGATCATCACAGCCGTGATGTTATTCGTGATAACACACTCCTCAAGGTGTTTCACGCTGTGAGATATACTGTTTCCTAGGGCTAAAAGATGAATCGTTTTTATATTGAAATCGCAATCTAAGGTAGTGCAATTCTCAAATCTCGAAACCTGCAATTTTTAAAAAAAATTATAGCCTACATCATCAAAAACGCCGTCCTAAGTTTTAAGAGGGAAAATGTAAATGCATGACGTAGAATTTGAGAACTGTGTACATAAGGTAGGCCCATCAGAGGGAACCGTATCTCTACGTTTTGTGACATCACAACCACAACTTACTGGCAGTCTGGCACATACATTAAGGGGTCAAGCTTTAAGCTAGTAAAGGTCAATATTCTGGTCTTGTCAGGCCTGAACCTTAATTTATAGAATAGAATCGCAATTTAAATCGCAGTTGCAATGTTAGTCAGAAAAATCGCAATTAGATGTTTTATCCTAATCGTTCAGCCCTACTGTTACCTATGGGAAAAAATTTATGAATTAAAAAAATTAAATATAAAAATTAAATAAAAAAAAATTAAATAAAAAAATTAATTAATTAATTTAAAAATTAATTAAATCACAGCCAAAAGCAGCAGCAGCTACTCTGAATACTGTCCAGATAACAGTGGGTAACAGTATGTCAGAAACAACATAAATTAGATTACATAAATTAGATTAATGGTGTGTTTGTGTTAGCACCTGCATTCGTGCGTCTGCAGTGAGTGAATGTCAGTGAGGCATGCATGGAGAAGTAGCATAGCGGGGGTTTAACAGATGCACCATGCGCAGGGGCACGGAGGCTTGGCGCAGCCAGCACACGCGGCTCTATCCACAGGCTCACTTTCACCTCATCTGCCCCCACCATTTATCTCCAGCTAAACTGTGCCATTCTGGCTGGTTCAGCACATCAAAAGAAAGACACGTAATTAAAGGAGATTCATCTCAAGCAGGCGGAGTGACCGGGCGCGCGTGTGCGCTAAGGTCTGAGCTGAGGCGGCTGCGGTCCCGTGGAGTGCAGTGACCTTTTCTGTTTTGCGGCCGAGTGGGCCAGCTGATCAGCGCCGACCTTTAGCTCCGAAACCTCCGCACACACACACACACACCCACCACAGTGCTAACAGGCCCTGTTAGAAGAACACAGGTTAGCACTGGCAGGAAAGGCAACTCGGTGCCCCGAATATACAAATACTGTACCATCACTGGACTTAAAAAGGATCCACAGAAAAGAAAAAAACTGAAATGAAAAATCAAATTTAAGTCAAATCTAGTCAGTCAGCCGAGGCAGATTTGGTGTCTGAAGTTTGCTTCTTTAGTTTTGCACTCAAGCTATGAGGATTATGTAGCTAACAAGTAATGAAAGCTGATACTCCACCAATTAGGAGTGCATTAAAATTTAGGCCATTGAAAAATATTAGTTAAAAAGGGTAATAAAAAAAAATTTCCTTTTTTTTAATCAAATGAGAAATATTCACCAAAATTATGTGCAGTAAAAGTCACAAAACTCTATTTATTTCATCATTTTCCATTCAAAACAGCTAATAAGTACAAGCTGTTCTTTCTCAGTACCAACGATGAAAGCTTTGGGGGCAGTTTTGGTGTGTACCAGGTCTTCCAGGTGGTTGTTAGGAGCTAAATTTTCTTAGTAGCCTTTAATCATTTTTTAAACTGCACTTTTGGAAACCTTTTTTCCCCTCACTTATTTTCCTTTGACTTTCTCCTTCATAATACATCTACTCAATCAGTCTCTAAGAGGAACATCAGCCATGCAATTAATAATCTCTCTTTATGTCGTGTATCAAGAGGAGACAACCCCCAAGAACCTCCCCATAACAGGTTTGATAGCACCTGAAAACATGACTCAGTTTCTTTCAGTAATTCAGTTCAATAAAAGCTTGCGCTGTAAGGATCATGTAGCTAACAAGTAATAGAAGTTGATACCATTTGAGAATGCCCCATTTAAAACAGCTAATAAGTACAAGCTGTTCTTTATCAGCACCAAAGATGAAAGCTTTAAGTGCTGTTTATCTGATGGGGGCAGTTTTGGTGTCTACCAGGTCTTCCAGGTGGTTGTTAGGAGCCCCATTTTCTCTGTAGCTTTTTATTCAGTTTTTCGAACTCCAGTTTTGGAAACTACCGTTTTCCTTACGCAAGTGGACTGTCTTATATCTAACCTCAGAAATATTTCCTGAAAAATGAATAACTTGTACTTAACAGCTGTTTTCACAGTAACCTTTACACTGTGGACCTCCAAGCCAGGGCTGCTTCTGAACATTTGGGGGCCCACAGCCCACCAACCAATCATATTCTTTTGTATGCAAGAATGGAATAAGAGTTAATACTTAATATTAAAAAAATTGAAAATGATGGTTCTTTAAGGGTTCTTCAGTGACAAAAATGATTACATATAGAAAATGATTATATATATAGAACAACTTTTCTGGAGTTTTTCTAATCGGTTCCTGAACTCCAGTTTTAGACAGTTTTGATTTTCACCTTCTTTACTCAAATGAATTATCTTACATCTAATCTACTCAGAAAAAGAAATCTCTTAACTTGTACTTAACGGCCATTTTGACTGGAAACTAAATAATCAAAGAGTGGTCTCTGATTTCAGAAGTTTGACACGTTATAAATAACTGCAACGGTAATGAAAGTGAGAGAAGTCATTATAAACACTGTTGGTTTCCTTCACTCCCCGCCACCAGCCACTGGACAGTTCAAACACTTTGAGCAGCAGTGGATAAACAGTCGGCTGTATTTCATGGTGTCTATGAGGAAAATCAGCCACGCGATTTATAATCCCTGTTTATGTCACGCATCAAGAGGAGTCAACACCCAAGAATTTCTCCCCTACAGGTTTAACAGCACCCGAAAACATGACCCAATACACACAGCACAGCGAAAGAGAAGCAGAAAGGAAAGTCCCTGCCAGCACGCCAACGCCCTCTGCACCCACAGGCTTTGAAATAATGTCACAAACGACAGCCAAAGTGCAAAGTGTAACTAAAAATAATGCGATTCACTGCTTTGGATGACCAGCTGTTCTCGGTCATTGACGATGCTGGATTAATCAAAAGTCCTATTAAAAGGACTTTTCCAGTAATGCAAGTAATTTTTCCTCATTGACCCGTATTTTAATAAAGAAACAAGGTTTTCAGTTTCGGTTTTCAGGCCAGTGTGTCTTGAATTTCAGTTTCAGTTTCAGTCAGTTTTTATTTTGGTGCGTCACTAGATAACAGTATGTTTTGCATTATCAGAAACCACATAAGCCCAATATGTCCATCACAGAGTGTATAACAACTCAACACAGTCTGAGGCAACCACATGATAATTATGAATTCTGGCCACACTGTTCGTGGGTATATTTTGGTTTTTCCATCTGAATTTACATGCCCAAATTGCCCAATTCAAGGCAAATTATTCAGTAACTGCATAAAATAAATGTACATTGTAAAAGCCCTTCAAATTAACAGAAAATATGTTTTATGTTCATAAACATAAAGCTATATGCTTACAATTGAATACAATCTTAGACACTCTTTAATAAAAATAATTTTTCAGAGCAGATCACTGAAGAGACGCCACCTGAGACCCAGTTTATAGCTCAGATTTGTGGAAAAATGATCGACTTTCAGTAGGGAAAAAAAAGTTGTGAGTTCAGCTTCTTTTATTATAAGGGTTTAAAGCTACATCACCCATCTATTCGACTGGAAAGAAGACAGTTACAGCTCTCATACGACCCCCACCTTTAGAATGAAGCTTATGAAATGTGAAAGTTATGAAGTAAAGAATATGACTGAGTGCGTTTTGGAACCACCGGTGGTTAAAAGGTTAATATATACACACCTTGCTTACACATTATCACTAAAGCATTTATGCAGGATTATTTGAAAAACTGTAGGTAACATTATCACAACGCCTGTACTGGTTAAGTACGTATTATGATTATTTAATACTGTCTGCAAAAAGTGGTGATAAACTACTGTGGCTCCTCCTTGAGCTCTATGATCCAGGCAATGCTCTGTGTGTGGTTTCATTCAGTAACCCGGTATAATAAAAGCTCACCTCTGTGCTCCCTGAGTGGATGGCTCTGTCCACGTTGAGCAGTGATTGGTCCTCTGCCTGACGCACACCTTCTGACCACAAAGCACACTGCTGATGTGCCCAACACTGACCTGCAGGCGTATAAAATAAAAGACGAACAAAATAAATCCACACAGTCCATCTACGAAGATTAAGCTGCAAAAAAAGAACATTTCAATTCCATGATGGTCGATTTAAAAAACGAACACATTTACATGTAAAGGCCTATTTAGTCTACAGCAGTTTAGCTCCTCCCATTCACACTGTCTGTTACTGCAGACAGTTTATAGTAGTTATCTGAGCAGAAGACAGCAGGATTAAACGCTGTGCTGTTCCTGGCTGTCAGAAAGCAAATGGATCACTGCAGCTTTCCAAAAGAGCTCCACATGCAAAAGGAGTGGCTGATGTTTATCTTAGGATTTCAGTGCAAACTTAACAGTTTGTTCAGTTCATTTTAGCCCAGACTGCTTTCTAAGCTAACCACAATACAGGGCAGCCACTCAGAACACAAGTCTTAAAGACACAGTAACTACAACAGCCTTTATTCCTCTTTATTTAAGGGATGAAGAGAGGCCGGACAATGGAAATGTACAATTTAAATATATTAAATATTTAAATATTATTTACAAATAATAGCCAAAAAAAATCACCTATGCATAACCACACACAGTTCAAGCTCTCAATGAAAGGAATCCTGTCTGAACAGACAATCCTAGGAGAAACTGTGGCCTTACCTGACTCATCGAAGAGAGAATGGACGTCTATGTCGTCCGGTAAACCCACATGGTGGAGCTCATCCCAGGACTTGCTGCCTGCTTCATCTGTTCCAGCACTAGAGAACGGAGAAGGAGGAGAGGAGGAATCAGAAGATTTCTAGACCAAGATGGCCAGAATGTAAAGGCTGTAGTGCCTGCAGAAAAGGACTGAGCAAAAATGAATAAAGGTTACAGATCAAATCTTATGAATCAGATTCAGGTCATAGTGTTCCATCAATTTTTAAACATTTCTGCATAATTTAAGCATTGGGATGTAAACAAAGCCATTCAGTTTGTTGTGAAATGGTTCACTGTAGAGAAACAGACTCGTTACAGTGGTGGTGATAGGAACCAGGGGTCATGATGTCCAGAACACAGATACACTTTATTTACTATCCAAAAATTTTCAATGTAATGTTGATGATAAAATAGTGGGAAACCTAAAAAAAAAATTTTTTCAGGGCTACTTTGCCTTAGAACACCCTGCATGTATCCCTCCACACTGTATATCTATATCTATATCTATATCTATATTATACACACACACACACACACACACACACACACACATATATATATATATATATATATATATATATATATATATATATATATATATATACTGTAAAAGACATCGGACAACAGGCAGTGAATTCATAATCATTTAATGTAGTAACTTTCTGTGAGGGAGCTTTTAGAGGTGGACGTCTGGTTCCTATCACCACCACTGAATAACTTTGTTTACACCTTAACTAATTAATTACGCAGAAATCATAGTTAAGAAGAAATTCCCACTTATATTCAGTCTCTGTCCACTTTATTAGAGACTCCTATCTTGTACTTCCACTCACTGGCCACTTCGTGAGCTCCACCTACCTTATAGCTCAACTACGTAGGTATACAGTTACAGACTGTAGCCCGTCTGCTGCTGCACAGTTTATTACCTCCCCCTACCCCATTCATCATTGGTCAGTGTCTGACCACAGGGCTGCCAATATCCAGATATTATTTGGGTGGTGGTCCTTTCTCAGGACAGCAGTGACACTGACATGGCAGCACATGTGGTGCTGGTACAAGTGTATTAGACACAGTGATGCTGTTGGGGTTTAACGTATCAGTGTCACTGGTAGGTTGAGAGTGGCCCAAAAATATCCAGTCAAGAGGTGCTCTGCGGTCAGAAACTGACCACTAATGAAGAATTAGAGGATAGAGAACACAAACTGTGCATCAACAGATGAGATACAGTCTCTAACTTGACAACAACACAGTGGACATACAAGAGAAAGCGGCGATTAAATGTAATGAATTAATAAATAAAAATTTGTTGGGAAAACGTTCAGTTACGCAGTGCAGCGTCCTTCCAGAGTCATATCTGAACCCTGATCTGGACTGTTCAGGCCAAAAACAGTTTACAATAAAACTATCCATGTGACAGGAAATCATGATGAGCTTCAGGAGGAGCTGAATCAGCAAGGAGCTACAGAAGTCACCGAAGAAGGTACAGCTGAAGAACAGAAACCACAATATTAACAATGACACCAGAGCAAACAGGCCCCAGGTTAATGTCTAATAAGACAAAGGAGGCTGGTGGTGAAGAAAAAGCAAAACAAGCCTTAGAGAGCAAACAGCGCGGTAAATGTCAGCGATTTGGCTTGGCCTTTGAGACGGGGTTGATGGACAGCGCTTTGCGTTCGCATTCATCTGAATACGCTCCGTCTGCTGTCTCTCTGCCACGAGCAGTAAGTGAGAGAAAAGAGTGCTAATTCACACTTGACATTCAGCGACTGGAGGCTTTGACTCATAGCCGGTTTAATTTAGCCACGAGGAGCCATCTATCGCCATGACGTCACAGACTGATAAGCCAGTTGTTGAGAAATGACTCAATGCAAACAGATAGACATCGTCAAAACCCTCCACATGTTATTGCATATTATATACATATATATATATATATATATATATATATAAAAACACATTTCTTTTATTATTCACCGGCCAAATTTTCACAATAACAACTTATCAAAATAACTTGCCAAAAGTCAGAAATTTGTGCCTGCCCGACCGAATGTGTATCTTAAAAAAAGCTTATGTTTACATTCTTGAAATTTGTTTTCAAATAAAAAATAAATACAACAAAAATTGTGAAGCTGACTGTTAACAACGGCATTATTATTTGTTTTGGATAAATGCCCTGACAAGCAGTTTTTACTCAGAACTGAAATTTAACTGAAAGTAAGGGGAGAAAAACGTGAGGTGCACTGCGCCCTGCACCCCTTTTATTATTTTTAAACACAGCTTTTGGCTACACATACACCTGTTGCTCAGCAACAATTCCAAGTATTCAATTACGTCATTAAGAAGATCAGGTCGCCATGTTGGTAAGCAAGCTGTAACTCTGTGCTCTGATAGACTCGTCTCATCACCGTTACTGCAGATGCAGCCCTGCAGGTGGATAAACACCAACAAAACAGACCAAAATGACCCCAGAAAAGAAAAATAGATTTGTAGACGCTTCAGATACAGTCTCCAAAAAACACTATGAGAAGATTAGATTGGTGGATCAGTATAACATGCATTTCTCCAGAGTTTAGAACATTCCAGTGGTAGATATTAAAAAAAAAACATAAATAATAATAATAATAATAATAATAATAATAATAATAACAATAATAAAAGTGGCTACCAAAACTGCCAAAGCTCTTACATAAACTCATACATACATATCAAATCAAAGTCAGCTTCCTATTCGCCATCTTCTCATGTGAATTTTCCATTCCACCTTTAATGATGCTGCAGTTACACTGTACAGGTGTATTAAACGTGTGTTTAATGTGTGTGAAGCGTTTTCTGTTTGTCAAGATAATCTGGATCTATAAAATCATACAGATCGGGACAGACGGACACTGCAAATGTGACTGAAGGCCCACCTACATTTTGATCTGATTGGTCAATACACAAAAAATGCGTCTCTCCAAATAAAAATGATAAGAAAAAGCGCAGCCGTTTGCAAAAAAACGCGGACAAATTGCTGCATGAGGCTCTTTTACTGTCCTGTTGCTCCACAGCAGAATCAGATTAGTAGGTAAAAATAAAATAATCCTCCTTTACAGTAAAATAAAGCTCTGCTGATCGTTCAACACAGTTTAACAATAAATGGTCTTAAACTCTGGAGTTAATGTAGACCTGCTAATTCACCCTTTAACCCTGAAGATCAGCGCAGACTGCTGGTCACCATAGCAACACAGACAACAGTCTCGCCTAGCTAGTAGCTAACGAAACAGCAAAAAGAAAGATTGAAGACGAACATCGATAATTTGGAGACGAATTGACTTATTTGCGTTTATAAGCTGGGGTCCTGATACGTTTAATCTGCAACCAGAAACTATCAAACACTAAAAAGTCACGAGGCTGAGGTCAGTTTCTCGTCCGCCAGCTTCTTGTTCGAATTTTCGAATGTTCAAGCTGGAAAACGAGAAGCTGACTTGAGTCTTGTAAGAAAATTAAACGTTAAGAGACATTTTACAAGAAACTTTTCTACTTTTGCTGAAAAGTTTCCTGCCGGAGATGCGAGAAAAGCGGCTATAGCTGAGCTAAAGCTTAAAGCAGAGCAAAGTAAGTTTTTGTTTATATTATATTTTTTATACTACGCCAGGTCATCAACACATACTGAGACATATTTACAGACAAGATGGTAAAATGGACATAAAATTCTGTGGATCTCAAGGTGGTTTGATTTTTGTTGAAAGGACAAGATGGCTCTTCTTAACATTTGGGTTGCGACCGCTGGATATTTCTGTCTGGACTAATTCCGGATGTATTATTACACAGTTTTGGTGAGTTCACCATCATTATTATTGTTATTATTATTATTAAATGTGAAATATAGTAAATAAAAACATTTTATAGTGTCTGAACTGTTGCCATGAAGTGGTCAAAACCGCTACTATTATTACAGTTTTATTTTTACAGTTCCAAAATATCAGCAACGACTATTTGATCTTTTGTTTTTGTCTCGTTCTTCCACACTGAAACCCGCTGACCGGTTGTGCAGCTCTGGAGATGACAAAGCTGGGCCGTGCTGGCTGCCTGCCAGCACTACGCTCGTTGGGCATTACGTCATCAAGGCCCCTGGGAGACGCTTGATTGGCTCCAAAGAGCTGAGACAAATTAGGCAGCTGTCCAAGGGAGGCCGGGGAGGGCCCTTTGTTGGGCCGAGCTCACGCTGGGCCCGGACGCTCACATCCTGCTCTGTGGGACTTCACATAGCTGCTGGCTAATCACGGGCTAACACAGAGCGCGCTAGCAGAGAACAGCGTGCAGAAGGAGACGGAGCGGACAGACCTATCGGCGCGCACTCTCGTTTTCTTTGTGTGTAAACGACTGAACTCAGACTGATAGGAGTCAAGAGAGCAGCGTAGAGTGAAAACTCACTCATTTTTAGCCTCAAGCACTTTGTCTTGGTCTAGTCTAAGAAGGAGGAGCTACAGATAAACACATTTTTGCTGTACTAATTTAGCTAAAAGAGCAAACCTCATCTAAATAAAATTACAGCCCAGTTTGGTATTACGAGCTGCTTTCTGACAAAAAATGATGCGAACCTGCTGGAGTAAATCTAATTGCGCTATGAATAAAGCTGCGTGGCAAACAAAGCAAACAAACCACTTCAGAGCTTTGAATGGCTCAATGGCGAAAGCACTGCAGTAGTAGCAACAGTAGCAAGAGGAACTTCAGCTCAGCGGAGCTAGCAACGGATCAGATCTGTTCTCTTTCAGGTACGATCAACAAGTCCACAAAAACACACTCGTTATAAACACGGTGTGTGTGTTACAGACGTGTACAATACCAGTTTATCCCAGCAGGCCGTTTTCAGCCCGTAAGCTCAAGCGTTTCGTAACAAAGCAAAGCATCGTAAAACCTTGTGAGCGATAATCGAGTGAGTTTGGGGTTTAAATTTAGAGATTTGTGTCGGGCATGGTGGGGCTGGGACTGAAGTCAAGTAAAGGTCAAGTTTCAAGTTCCCACCATTTTTAGAAATTCATTGTCCAGCAGCTTTCCAGGACAATCTCCATGGCTTATGATCACTACGTTGAGAACATAAACTTATCTCCAAAATGGTAACTTTACAGGAGAAGGAAAATACACTCTTAGGCTACGTTCACACAGCAGGCAAAAGCGGTTTTTTTTTTTTTATCTTTTAAATGTGATCTGTATGCGACATCAGTCTGAACAGATCAGCTCCTAAACTGACCCACATGCTCAAAAGATCAGAGCGTCCCGCTGCTTCACGGCTCATCCAGAGGTCAACAATCACGACCGCCAACGAACGCCAGTCGCTCCCGGAGGATCAGCTTCATCTTCACCAGCATCACAGGAGCCATCATGAAGCTTCACTGACTGACAGCTGGGCTCATCACCCAGAATGTGTTTAAGCCGTAAAAAGGGCGCGGTCACTTCTTTGGTTCGCGTTCTCGGATTCTTTAAACTCTGCTTTCAGACTTTTAACTGTTCTTTGATGCTGCAGCCTCGTTCTCCTGCGGCCGCGTTCAGCTATTTCCTTCAAAATCTCTCTGAACACGGAGGGTTTTGCGATGAATGTTGAGTTGGATTGCCGTAAAAGTCGCTTGAATTCTGATCCGGCTGTTCAGACTGAGTCGCACTGCCACATATCGGATATATATCGGATTTCAGTACCGCATATGAAAGTGTCTCAAATCGGAATTGAAAATGTCAGATGTGTTTTTTGCTGTTCACACTGACACACATCTGTCTCATATTTCAAGAAAAAGATCAGATTTGGGCCCCTTATACCCGCGAACACAGCCTTACTTTAATGGAAAAAAGTAACCTGAACCATTTCTGTTGGTCCATTTATTACAAAATGTTCATACAAAGCGTAGCTGGTGTTCCCAAACTTAAAACATATGAAGTGAAGAAAAAAGGAGACATAAGGTTTTATCCCGGCAGCAAGACTTCATGCTGACTACCCCTAACCCCTAACGACCCCTTACTGAGAGAGTGATATACTGACCCCAATCCTAAACCAAACATGATTTGATCACAAGCTCTCCTACAATATTAGAAGTCAGTGCTGCATGCTTTACTCAGGGGTGTATTAATGTCGTCTACCAGTCAGTCCAACAGACCGATTAGTGTCTGTACACACGCAACACTGTAGTATTACTACATGTATGAATGGACACTCAAAACTCTGCATTAGCAGCTAAAAGACATCATTTGCAAGACATTATTCATATCCATATTTTTCAGGTGTTATATGTGACCGGAAAGCTAGTCTATAAATGTCCAGGTGTGGCAACCCCGAGATTGTTAATCTAATCTATATCGGTGCATACGTTCATAAAACGAGGAGGTCAACAAGACTGCGTGAGTCTTTGACAGTGATATCGGTATCGGCGTTGACACTGGCATCTAAACGCAGTATCGGTATCGGTGATGGGGATACCGATACCTGTGACTGACACCATGAAGCAATTTCTGACACGTCCATGTGAGCCAGCAGACAGAACTGAACGCCACGTCGATAGTGTGGGACAACAAACAGCAGTAAAAATCCTCATGGCAGATATTTTAACAGCAGTTTTTGGTGTGAGGAACACGCTAACGGAGCCGCCGACCTGAACGGCTGAGCTGCTCCTTTCAGTAAATCACTCATCTGCCGCTGTGTGGTCACTTAAAGTCCGAGTTAATGTTATTGAGAGAGCGGAAGGAACCGCCGGACTCTCTGCGTAATGGTGTACAGTAAATAAGCAAAAATAAGTTCTCTTAAGCATCTAATAAACAGAATCCAACAAGTAAATACCATCTAACCAAGCTGAGTGTGTTTTATTTGTGAAGAAGGACAGAGATTTTACCAAAATAAAAAAAATTTTAAAAATGTAATTGTATGATTATCAGGACTTATAGGCGAGTTAGGTTAGATAGAGTTAGTATCGGTATCGGCCGATGCTAAAAGATCAGGTATCGGTATCGGGAGGGAAAAGTGGTATCGGCGCATCTCTATATAAGAACTGAGTTACGGAGTTGTTGTAAATCTTACTAACAACACACAGTTTAGTAGCTAATAGAAACTATGATTTTGATTTTTGAACTGTTTATTCCACACTTGTTGAATGTCTACTGCAAAACTGAAACTAAATATAAGTGACAATAACCCTCACAAACACAGAAAGCATCGAAATCCCTCTGTGTGGATGGTTTAAGTGATCGGATCCGTCCACAAACCCCCACTGCACTCGTGTCAGTTAACCAGGTCCCAGTCCATCACAGCCAAAGCAAATTCAACAGCCCAGCCTCTCTCCACCAATCAGCTCACCTCTCCGGGCCTCGGCTCCTCCCTGATTGGCTGGCGGCCGCGCTCCTGTCGTCATGGCTGCGTCCCTCCGTTCCGGCCTCGAAGCCCGGCGTGGCCTTGAAGCGCTTCAGCTCGCCCTGACCGAGCAGACTGCGAGCGCCGCAGTAACAGAACGCACACAGCTGCTCACTGGAGGAGGAACACAAGCAGGCACTCGGGTCAGAACCGGGAAAGACAACAATCACACAAAAATGTGTCACACATCACAAATCTCAGCCTCAGACGCTGCTCTGCCAAACATTTGATTACATTTCTTAATCATTTTTATCACTGCTGTCAGAAGACAATCTTTTTTACTGACTTTTTTCCACCATTCGAAATCACTGTCGTTTACATTTTATGATGAATGAACCAAAATAAATTTAGAAAAGCAAAGACACACTAACAGATGTTGAGAACATTTTTTTCCTTCTTCTAGAATGTTTTCATTTCATAGACACAGATTTATAACACTTACATAATTACATAATTAGCTACATAATCAATTCTGTAACAAACTACACCCGCATTTGATTTACTTTCTGCATTAACAGGCTTAAATCTGCACTTTTTCTGTTTGTTTTGATGTAAAAAATGAACAAAAACATGGCAAAAAAGTAAAAGACAGGCTGTTCTTTTCACAACAGTAATTTGTCATCAAATTCAAATCATAACAAAATCTTTTCTTCTACTTACTAACACAAATGTGGTACAGGCTGAACGCTCAGAATCCACACTTTCCAAACAATTGGAATAGTATAAGCTAACTAGTCTCAGCCCCAGATGTTCTGCCCAGATGTACATAGGTGCAAAAGGGGCGTCTGACTGTCTTCACTACAGACAAATATGCTAACCTGCATAATTCCTGCAGATAGCCACATATGCACACATGTACATGGAGTGTCTGATATCTACTCCATGTAAAGTTGGCCACAACTACTGGGATTTTGTCAGCTGCGTTCTGATTGGCTATCCACACGTTTCATGATGTGGAACAGCGGTGAGTTTTTGGAGGAATGTAGTATTTGCAGTGAAATATCAGTTCAGATTATCGTGAAGCTCACAGCATCACATCATTAACAGTCAATCCCCTGTTTTCTTTGTAGTATTTAACAGATAGTAATATATATTTGTTATGCTGGTATTCGGTTCTCTATTCCACCTGGCCGTTTTAGCTAAAAGAGCACAGATACCTAAGACACAATAGGAGCACTGTAAATAACACAGAATTTCTTCATAACTGAATGATTAACATGTAAACAAAGTCATTCAGAGTGGTTTGATATGAAATGCTCTGTTTTACAGAAAATCTGCCAAGTCAAACCTGTTCACAGTGGTTGTTTTGGAGAGTACAACCATTTTGGATAGTAAATAAAATGGTATAATGGTGTAATAATGGTATAATATAATGATATAACGATGTAATAAAATATTTGAGTTGTAGATAACCCCTGAGCTGGCAAGTTCTCTTCAATTGGTTTTATACCAAATCACTCCAAATTTTCTCTGAATCTCAACATTTTAATTAAGTAGAAAATTGGAAGAATTCCCCTTTAAATTACCAGACTATAAGAAAGATGCTCAGTGCAAAATGTGTAATAAGAAGCTGGTATATCACGAAGGCCGGAAAAGTCTGAGTATAGCAGTATCAATCCAGGCATTACGAGGCTCTGGAAAGGCCCACAAACCACTGAGCTCAGAGCCCAAACCCATTTGCTGTGGTGAGTTCTGGCAGTGCTGAAGGAAGAGAGCACCACTGCTTGAGCTAAACTCCGCCTGCAGGCTGCCATTAGTGCTGCTTTTCATGATAAAAGAACAAAACTGCAAACCGGCCACATGAAACAACTCGATAGAATAGTCAAAAATAACGAAAAACAACTAAAACTAAATCTAAAACTGAAATAAAACAACATTTAATTTGTTACTCTTCCGCAATAACCAGGCTGTTTCCTTTTTAAGGGCTTCTTGCTACGCACAAGGGCTACAATCGTCGATTCACGGCACGCTGCAGCTAGGCTTTCGTTGACTATAAACACAATGTTGCCTCCTACTGGACGTATTTCGTATAGCAGCAACAAACATGCTTAAATTAATGGTCATAATAAAATGTATATATTGAGCCTCATTCACCAACCGTTCTTAATTTCTTCACAAAACCCACTTACCCAGTTTTATGAAGATTCTGATTCACCAGTGTTCTCTTATCTGGGGTTTGTTCTTAGGTAAGAACAGAATCTACACACACTCAAGAGCACAAAGGTGAGAACAGTTCTGTGCCTTAGGAAGACGTCAGGAATCTGACGTAGACTTTTTCTTAGGACGTTTCCCAAAAAGTAGGAAGATATTGGCAAACAAGGCCCGACGTTCTTAAGGGTACCTTTCAGAACCAGTACTCAACACTTGTTCATAAATACACACAACAGAAAAAGACAGCAGACTCTCTGATGAAAGACAGACGTCTGGCTTGCGACCCTACCAGCTTGATACAGCACTACTGGCACGCTTGGTGAGTCTATGAAGAATGTCTGTATCTTGTTCTTACACTGAAAAACCTCTGAGTGAGTTAAAGATTCAAATAAAACTGTACATAAAACTCTGCATTCTAAAGTGAGCTGAGCTGTCTGATGGGAAGCTGCTGAGGGAGGGAGGACGAGGAGAGTAAATAAATAAAAAGGTGTGGAAGACGGAAGAGGAGGCCATTAATAAGGTCTCCAGATATGCGTCCGGTCAATTCCTCAGCCTCCATCCACGCGGCGGCTGCTTCCATCACTGATTTCGCTCAGTTACAGCCAGATTTACCTGCAGCCTTTATCTGCTCTCATATCGGATTATTGCGTGTGCGTGAGGGCGGCAGAGGGGTGGATAAATAAACAACAGAAGATAAACAAACGTGTAACAGTCTACAGTGTATTTAGTGGTTGAGAACATAAACAAACAGAGCAGTTCATCAGAGACTGCACTGTTTGGAGAAGAGAAATCTCTCTCTGTCCCTCTCTATCCTACATTCTTCTGGTATTTACTTCGAATTTCTATAGTTTTATGTATTAAAATCACGTCTTCCACTGCAGTAACTCTGCAGGAACAACACTCCACATCACCTCATCTGGAATGGGCAGGACTAGACCGAATGGGCAGACAGATGCAAATGGTTGTGACACCACAATTTCCATATATGGACTGTACAGACTAGTGGTGGACAATGTATTGATAAATTATGCAATTTAGGACTGTAGGCTCACTTTTCGGAAAGCACTGGTTAACATTTTGTTATTATTCATAATAGCTGAGAATAATTAATAGGGTTTTGTGTTCATTCGTAAGAGTAGCCAACACACTGACACTAATCGGTATAACGTTGGCTGCTGATGAGACCTCTACTCGACTCGTCTTCTACACTACGCATTTTCTCCTCAGTGGACGATGAACCGTTATTAGAGAAGTATATTTTTACTATTTCTGGACCTGACTAACACCAGCTTAGAATAGTTAGCCCAGTCAGCGAAGAGTAACACTCTCAAAACGGTCACATTTTATAGTCCTGTAAACATAAAATTGGCAGAATGTTTATCTGAATTTTTTATTTTTATCATCTTCCTGTGTTGATACATAAAGAACACCCCAACAGTCATTTCATCGTTCGAATGCTGGCACTTTGAATGGTTAACCGAGCTCATCCACATCACATACCACAGCAATTATTTCAAACATGAAAGAACAACTCAATTTCCCAAGAAACGGGACTTTTTAAAGGTGCAATTTGTAGGCGATGGTATACGGAGCCCCATTGGTGACATCCTGTATAAATAAAAATCATGCGCGGCCACAACTTTGTTAGGCATGGGAACGAGATCATGCCTTACTAAATCGAAGCCACGAATTAGGATCTCGCTCCCACTCCTTAATTATCTCATTCCCGCGCATTATTTTTATTTATACGGCATGTCACCAACGGGGCTCCATACTACCGCCTCTCGAGGTACTGTGCGGTATCACTGGGCACCAGTTGGACGTTATGGGTGTGTCTCAAAACCTAGTGAGCTCTACATGGACAGCATTTTACGTCACAATATGCGCTCCCGACAAGAAGGCTGTCCCAATTCTTAGATATCTCAAATATGCTGCCTACTAAGGTCTCATTTTGGCCCAATATCAGGAGAGCATCGGGTGTTTCCTCAGCTGCTGAGGCAATCCCACGATGCAGCGCGGCGCAACTTTTGTTTGAAGATGGCGATCAGAAGCGCTTCATCAAGCAGCGACGTCATCTTCAAATGTAAGTTATTCTGATTTTCTGGGGTGTTTATCTGTTTTCTAGTCATAAAGGTGCACAAATATCCTATACTTTCCGCGTTTGACCACAACTATTGTCTATTTTGCTGTTTCATTCAGAGCAAATACAGTTAAAACCGCTGTATAAGCTGCCAGAGCAGATCCATGTGGGCTAACTGTGATTCTGACGGCTGAGGTAAGTAAACGCCGGTCTCATGCAGTGGGCGGGAACAAGCGGCGACGTCACTGCTGTCTAACTAGAGCGTCTCTTGTATCTGACTTATAAGGATAGATGACGGTTGGAACGCTGCCTACTTAGACAGCTGCCTATGTAGACAGCGGCTACTTAGAGAGCTCACTAGGTTTTGAGACACACCCTATATATCTCTACTCTTTACTATGCACTGCCACTTGTTTATACACCCATGCATTTACTCAGTTTATACACTGGAAGCGATATGCACTGCTGCATTGTCACCTGCATAACATTTACGCGATTTTACCTACTTATTTTTCGTACTGCACGTCATATTTCATCGTTGTTTTAGTATATTTTATAATCCATCTTTACATCTTCTATTTATGTATCTGTATCACAGCATATGGCAATACTTTTGCTCTTGTTTTGCTCTTTACTGCACTTTGTGCTGCTGTACTAGACGAAGTAGGTGTGGTGTATAAATTGGTTGCGCTTTCTTACATATTGCTCCTTTAATATGAGGCTTAATCCTGACCCAGCTCCAGCCTTCATCACATCTCTACAGTTCTACACACTTCAGCACAAGCTCATTCCACACACTGAAACAAACACAGGCGACAAAGACCGACACACACGGAGCTCAGTGTGCAGTTGTGTATTAACCCCCCACTGGCATTTAAAGTCTTCACATGGTTCTTGATAAACGCTGATAATTGAGGGCGCTGATTTTGACACTGGCGGCACACAGACATTATTCAATTTGAATAATTCAATAATGAATAATACATCCCGTAATCTTCCATTTAAACCGTGTGGCTAATGGAGAAACCTACAGTCAAAACAGCCATTTAATGTCATTAGTACAACAGACTTCTTCACACGTGGGGCTACGGCAAAATCTACAGTGAAAAAAGGCAGGTTTTTAAATATGCATACGCAGCAAAGAGGCCAGGCACAAGATTAGGAGAGCAGGGTTAATTTACTTGTTTTTGTTCAGCACATGAAGGAGAAGAATTTAGAAGGGCCGTGTGAAAGAAACCAAAATCAAAAATGAATGTGCGTAAGGATACAACACAGCTCTCCAACAGTGAAGTGGGCATGAGAACTGAAACTGAGCTCCCAAAAGGCACCAACTGAATTATACTACTACTACTAAACTGTTTTACTGACCATCAAGCAGGCCAGTGCCTGGTTAAGCTTCAGCCTGAGGATCAAAACTCCTAAAACAGTAAAACAGTCTGGTGCCCATGTTGGGCTAAAATACAACAAAGAAATTACACTGATTTGTGCCCGCGATCAACTGTTGGCTACGACCAGCTGGAAATTCAAATCAGTAATTCCGCCAAAACAACGTCACGCCAACAAACATCTTGTCATTTTAATCAGATTGGCTCCTTTAGGCACGTAGGGCAAGAAAAGAGAAGCATACAAATAAACATGTCATGGCCAAAGTGCACCAAAGCTTGGCTGGACTTACTAACACAAAACCCAGCTGGACTTTCCAACATACTGACTACTAGCAATCCTTCAAATCTATTGAAATCTGGGGAAAAACGCTGAGGCTGACACTGAGAGACACTGAGGATACATCAGGAGCAGCTAAAGGAGACGTATATTACTCTATTATCCATATAACAGTTATATATATGTTGTAATATACATTATTAAAATATATATCATACATTATATATATATAAAATAGCTAAATGTGCTCTTCAAAAAACGAAGACCAAGCAAGCCTAGTTTTACTGCACAGCCATCAGCTGCATAACAAGTATCTATGATACAGTATAGAGGACAGTCAGTCACTATTTTTACAATTATCACTTTGTAAAGTTACATTTATTAGCCAATGTAACATTAGCTAGGTTAACGTCAGCATCCTATCATTGTATAACAGCATTAATAATAATAACAACAACAACAACAACAACACCGCCACGACCAATAATAACAATAATAATAATAATAATAATAATAATAATAATAACAACAACAACACTAAGTTCAGAAATCATTCAAGTAAATTCAAAGTTCAAATCTTATTTAAATAGTATTGTTATAAAGGACTCTTATTATGATAGCAGTGGCATGTGAGGCACTATGCTACGCTACCGTCATCCGGCGCTAATAAAGCTGATCAATCTGCGTTCTCCATGGATTCATTTCATAATTCTGACACGGTGTGTCCACTGCATTGTCAGATTTAGCTCTCCAGCTAGGTCTAAAGGATAATAACAGACTGTTATTCATACAGTAACATATCTATCAGACTCTAAGATGATTTCTACTCACACGAAATCTAACAAAAGTCTACCGTTACTCACAATCAGGCGCAGAATCTGAAAAATTAACATTTTCTCTTCAGAGTGTAAATATGTGACCACTCATTCTCCAGCTGCTAGCATAGATTTTAGCTCAGTAATCAGATTTCTCAGTGCATGTAAACTCTTACTCTGATTTCTATCGGATTTCTCAGTCTGTGCATGCGCGAGATCAGACGGTGGATGCAAAACACTAGTGGAGCGGCGCTGAAACAAAACACGAAATAAAGGATTTAAATATTTTTCATCTTCTAGATGATGTTTCTTCATATTTCCAGGTAAAGCGGCGCGATGTTTGAAAAAAAGCTGCGGCATGAAGTTTGAGTTTTACGTTGGCGTTTACATCACGTCTTCTTCTGTGAGTTTACTGGCTGGTGGTAAAGCAGAAATCTGATTAGTGTCTGACTCCTGTAGACACAGAGTTTCCCATTATCTACTTACTCAAGAGCATGTAGATCAGATTACTGACAAAATCTGATTTTCTGCAGTTATCGGATTATTGAGTGCATGTAAACACTCAGACATCAAAACTCTCTGATTTACATTCAGGTCCACTTGTTAATCATGTACAAGCTTGGTAACTGAATCCTCATCACTGACCAGCTGTTCAAACGTAGGCTAGTTGTGTCGTAAGTGTTTACTAAGTTCAGGTTAATGCATAAACACTTACGGCTGCACCACACAAACTAGTTTTAACGTTGAGCTTAGTAGTTACTAAATATTTACACCTCCCCCCCTGAGCAGGTGTACATTTTGCGGAAACCATCAAAAACCGCAAAAAAAGCACAAAGAGGACTAAAAACATGATTTTTTTGGTTCACTAAGCTAAAAATTCTAAACGCTATACGCTGATTTTACTCACAGCTCTAATCATCGCCCTGGGTTAAACTCCGAGCATGAAGCTGAACACCCACAGCTCCAGCTCTGAGACTCAGCAGCCCAAACGGCTAAACTGAGGCTGCTGTTGTGTCGGTTGTCCAGAAACAGTCATTTAAAAAGCTGCATATTCGGTTTTCTCAGGGAAATATTAAAGAATAAACAGTCGGTGGCTGTAAATGATTAGTTTTATTCAGTTTAACTTGTTCACGTTGTTCTTTTCTATGCTGGATATTTATTCCATTGAAAAAGTCAGAGGCATGGCAGCAGGTTTACTGGTCGGTTCTGAACATATTATTGTGGGGCAATCAAATTTCGTAAACAGATAGTTTGAAACTAACTCGTGTAACTAAGGACTTAGTAAACACTTTACGCCCAAACCTAAGTAAAAACGTACGCAAACCTGGTGCAACCCAGTCCTGGAACAATTAAAATTAGCCAAATAAATCAGTTTATATATTAAGATAAAAGAAAAAAATCCAGACAGATGGAGCTCAAATAGAGGTACTCGCCACTGTGCTATTTCACCTGTTATTAGATCACTGTTATCATTAGACCCACGATGTCATTTTCTGTATGTTCATTTTGTATGCTCTCATTGGCTGCCTCAGTGGAGGGGGCGGGGCCGCTGTACAGTGTTAGAGCTCCACTACGGCTGCCGTAGAGCAGAGTTTAGAGTTTAAACCTTCTCAAGTTTTTGAGCTTGTTTACATTGAGAGCCGAACAGTCACCATGTCATGAGCATGTGTCTGCCTAGCATGTCAGCACACAGCACTATTTAACGGTGATGCATCATAAACTGCTCTGAAAGTAGCTCTGCTTTACTCGTTTTTCCACTGCTATAGTAATGCTAGCTTATGCTAGCGTCCTAATGGGATTTTCAATGTTATGTTATGCACAAAGCTAACAGCGGTGCATTTAGATTTACTGCAGCTCTCCAGGTTAAACACAAACATCTTTACTGTGGATGTTACAGTATGGATGTTGACTCAAAGCCTATCTGGAGCCTATTAGCTATATAAAACATGAATTTAGACAATTTTTCATCAAATTAAAATCATAAGAAAATTTCTCCTCTTTTTCCTACGAACAAAAATGTGGTACAGATTGAACATCTAGAATTTCGCTGTTGTTGGAACAAAACCTTGCATCTCCAATTTGCTAACTTTACAGGAAAAGGAAAAGGAAAAAAAACGTACTTTACTTTTAATGAAAGTCAATGGAACCAGACTTTTTTCCACGTAATTTTGGGCCGTTTCTTTTGGGCCATCATCATGAAATTTACAGACAATGTAAAGGCCAACAAGCATTTTAAAATTCTGTAATAAACTGAAAAATGGAGATTTTGTTCTGACAACAGCGATTTGCACTTTCCAGTTTAGTGACATTTCTAAAATGATAAAAAAGCCACTTTAGTGACTGTGTTAACATTAAAGACTGAGTCAAAAGTTTAGGAATACAAAGTAACCAACTAATTTGGTCATATGTTGGTCATATTTTAAGTTTCCTTGCTTAGCTAGGTGACGTTAGCTACATCGTTGCTCGTTACTTAGCTAAACCACCTCAATTAAACAAACAAGGCCGTTCATCATGAAATTTACAGACGATGTAAAGGCCAACAGGCATTTTCAAATTATGTCAAAAACTGAAAAACGGAGATGTGAGGTTTTGTTCTGACAACAGCGAATTGCACTTTCCACATTCTAATGAACTACGAGTGAGAATTCATACAGAAATCCAGCATAATTTTACTGAATAACTGCATCTTCTAAGGGTTTTAAAAAAGAAAAGTTTCACATTTGGCATCGGTACCAGATTCAAAATGGGAGTATCAAACTATAGTCTAACAATATTCAGCTTTATGCTTCTCCTGAATCTATTCCACTAAAGCGACCAGCGAGGCTTTTAGTTCACTAGTACATAAAACACAGTTAATTCCCTCATTCACAAAGTTCTCAAACACACATACCAATCCTCTCCAGTAAACAAACTCCTCCCCCGTGAGGAAGTGAGTCAGTGCAGTGTGAGGTTCTGACCTGCTCTGAGCTCCTCCAGAAGCTGCTGATGTTTCTGCCTCCCCCGCCTCAGAGTGCGGAGAGACGGGCGATGATGAAGGCTGCTCCTCTTCCTCTCCACACAGCGACGACACTGCAGCGCTGCCCTCTGCGTCCTCCGGCTGACCTTTACCATCTGAGAGAGAAAGAAAATGAATGAACGAGTGAGAGAAGAGAGCGAGGCAGGGGGAAATCATGCTTTATTTAGCTGCAATATCAAAACCTCATTACTCCATTTTTCCCTTAAAATGACCAGCAGCGGTTGTGTGCAAAACGCTTATGAAACGATTTAAAGGAATTCTAGCTTATCACTCACACCTGACCGGGGATGAACTGGCCATTTGGACTACCTGAAGAATTATGAGCCTAACAGACCACAGAGGGAGGAGAAAACGGAGGAGACATGGAGAAAAATGCACAATAAAAACAGCAACACGTGACAAAATTCAAGACTACAGTTTATTATCTAGACATTAGCAGATTGAGGGACTGCAGAATTTAAAGTGGACGAAGCATAGCAGCTTGATTACGATGACCAACGTCAGTTACTAGCATGGTGAGCAAAACCAAGAAAGCTCTCTATCTAGCAGCCACACCAATAATAATAATAATAATAATAATAATAAAAATGTTTTTATTTATATAGCACTTTTCACGCTGGTGGCAGTTCAAAGCGCTTTACAGACAGGTGATAAAGTTAAACAGTAACACAAGAAATTATAAGTATTAATTTACAATCATAAGAAAATTACACAGATCAAATTAAAAAGAAAAACACAACGAGACGTAGAGTTTTAATTAAACGCTGAGTCAAAAAAATATTGTTTATTAAAAGTGAGCTTTGAGCTTGACTGTCTAATAAAAGGTGAACTGAGCTCCACAGTTTAGAAGCAGAATAACTGAACGAGTCTCTCCGTTTTCTGTATTTTTTCAAAGGGTGTCTGTAGAAGGCCAGTATCTGCAGATCTAAGATCTCGTGCCAGAACATAAACAGACAGACACTCTGATGTAAGCGATGCTTTAGGGTCATTTAAAGCCTTAAAAACTAGCAGCAGAACTTTATACTCTATCCTGAACGATACAGGCAGCCAGCGCAGCTCTTTTAAAGCGGAAGTGATCTGATCTCTGTGTTGTTGTTGTTGTTAGGAAGCTGATGCATGTTGTACGAGTTGTAAAGGACGTATTGTTTTCTCCAGTAAGAAGATCATTACAGTGATCAACTCTGCTGTAACAAACGCATGAACAAGTTTCTCTGCGTCGCTCTGAGGTAGAAAAGGCCGAACTTTAGCGACATTTCTCAAATGATAAAAAGCCACTTCAGTGACTGCGTTAACATTAAAGACTGAGTCGAAAGTTTAGGAATACAAAGTAACCAAATAATTTGGTCATATTTTAAGTTTCCTCACTTAGCTAGGTGACGTTATCTACATTGTTGCTCATTACACAGCTAAACCACCTCAATTAAACAAACAACAATCAATCAATCAATACTTATTACAGTCTAAATGAAGTGACCAGTGATGGCACACTAAAGAGGATACAAGGAGAGGTTGAAGGTTCTTCAAGGGTTCTTTAGTAAAGAAAACTGTTCTATATAGAACCATGAACACTCAAAGCACCCTTTGCATGATTAAAGGGTTCTCTGCATAATGAATGTGATTTTCAGACTGATGGAGTGTGTTTTTTTATATGGTTCTATATAGAACCATTTTGAAAAGGGTTCTATTTAGCACCAAAAAGGGCTCTTCTTATTGTATAGTGCTATATAGAACCACTTTCTAAAAAGTTTAACATGGAACCATCTACAGTACATTCTCCATCAATGTGAAGATCCGTTTAACGATGCAAAAGAACCCTTTAATCAGACAAAGGGTTCTTCGAGTGTTCATGGTTCTACATAGAACCATTTTCCGTAAAAGAACCATCATTTTTGAAAGTGTAGTATCAATATGTCAACGTGAAATTTCAACATCTGTGTGTCTGAACTAGATCAGCAAACAGGAGACGCACTACTGATAAGAACCAGGCGTCGCCATGACTACAACACAAATAGAGACAACTTACTATCCAAAACCACCAGTGAACCTCCATGTGTCTTCTGAGTTTTATATGGAATGTCGATGATCATAAAACCAGTGGTAGAAAATACATTTTCTTTGGGGACTATTTTGCCTCATAACACCCGGGAATGTGCCTCTCCGCTACCAATGGATTTCAGAAGCACAATTTAGGCCAAAACTCTATTTTAAAACTAGTGTAAAACAACATCTTGCACTGATACAATCCATCAGGCAGTGAATTCACAACCATTTCATGTAGTAACTTTCTGTGAGGGAGCTTTTAGAGGTGGACGTCTGGTTCCTATCACCACCACTGTGAACAGTTCTGACTCGGTATGTTTCTCTAGAACAGAGCGTTTCACACCAAACAGCTCTGAACGGCTTTGTTTACATCTTCATGATTGAATTAAGCAGAAACTTCCACCTAAGAAGCTGCAGACTGCTCACCCCAAGGACTGATCTACGGTCTACAGGGTCGCAAGCAGACGTTGCTCAAAACAGACCTAAAGGCCTTATTGGCATCCAAACACCAAACTATTTAAGGATCTGGAGCTTTGGCCACAAAATGTACACTCAACTCAACACCACTTAAGTAGTGGCGGTCACATGACAGGCTGTCAAGTGCGGCCAACAGTCCAGAAAAAAAAAAAGAAAAAAGAAAAAAGCACAAGATTAGATTTTAAAAAGCTTTTAGAGCATTAGTCTTCTGCTGGCTCCCACCGCACCTCAATCTCAAACTGAGAGAGAGAGAGAGAGAGGGAGAGAGAGAGTGAGAGAGGGAGAGAGGGTATCCCGACGGCAGCGCTGTGGCTGGAGTCAAATCCTTTCAATTAGAGTCTAAGAGTGGAGCCGTGTGGAGCCCAGCGAAAAAAATCTCATCAATCCTGCTCAAGGACTGTTCGCTGGCAAGCCTCTTAAAAGCCCCTCCTCTGCAGCCAGAGCGTTGAGTCACAGCGGCTGCACGGCCGGGGTGGAGGGGTGGGGGGGGCGAGAAAAGAGAAGATCAATTCAGGCCTCCAAGTTGTGATTTTGTTTACGGTGGAAAAGGCCTGGCCGCTCCGAGCCTGAGGGGGAGGGGAAGAGGCTGAAAGAATAAACTGATGGGGGGGAGAAAGAAAAGACGTGGGTGGGGGGAGTTAGGAGGTGTAAGAGAGAATGGAGGAGAGGAGTCGATGTGGGAGGGGAGAGAAAATAAATGAAGGAAGTGGTGGGAGAGGCAATGATAAACGACTCTCTTGCGGCTCTTTCAGTCCAACGCAGCTAGGATTAGCATTAGTGCTAGCGAAGGTTTCGGTATCGGAAAAGACAGAAATGAAAACGTGCCTTCGCTAAAAAATTTCAGATTTCACGATGCACTGAATCGTCTCTCCTAAAGAACCGTAATTGAAACGAATCAACCACTTAGTTATTTGGGGAATTACTGAGACTCGCCATGACGGTTCACTGGGGCAGAAGTTTCACAGCATCATGAACTCGACTTCAAAGTGACCGTCACAATTCACAACAGAGGAGCACCGGCTCTTTAGCACGCATTCAACATGATAAAAAGAGGCGGTCACTGCCCACCTGTGCTTTTCCCCCCTCAGTAACAACACAGGATTATCAGCAACTTGTCAAAACTGAATTTAAAGCTGTTGAGTCTTACGTAAAGCCTTGGGTTCATTACACAAGTTTTAGCCCTTGTGTGGTGTTCAGGTCTGTGGGACTCGTTTTCAGTGTTTACCAAAAGAAAAAATGATGTGATTTATTATTATTTCAGCCTCAGATTCTTGGCCTTTGCTCAGTTTCTGTGAAGAACATATAAAATAACCCATTTTCAGTGTCTTCACTCTGTTCACCCCCCACACATTTATACTACACATGGTGTTGGGTGAACCTGCGGGGAGTAAAAGTGTGGAGGTGCTGTGTCCTTCACTCTGTTCTCCTCCTACATGGCCTGCTGTTAGTGTGTGTGTGTGTGTGTGACGGTGGACAACATGGACAGGCTGCTGACTGGCTACAGCTGCTGAAGGAGAACCCTACGCTGGACACTTGTGATATTTTAAACATCTGGTATTTTTAAAACATTTTTATGACTGTATTGATTTAAAAACACAATAATGTGGTGGGTCCATCAGACCACTGAGTAACAACACATCAACACCACACAAGGGTTAAAGACATTATAAAAGACTGGGCATCTCACACTGACCAACTGGTTTTTTACAGTTTTTTTGGGCGACTGCAGTATTAGGGATCACACACTACTCACCTTTTAAGCTGCTGAACCGAACGGAGCTCACTGAACTCACTTTACTAGGAGACGCAAATAAACAAACATGTTGCTCCTGCTGCTGTTTTCTCTGCTGTTTGTGCTGAAACAGTAAAGAAGCAGCAGGTAAACGTTTAAGTGACGGGCGCTGACTTAAAATGTGATCAGTTTGGTATCTTTTTGAGTTTTAAATGTAAATAAACTCGATTGTGCCTTAAACTCTGCTCATTAAAAAGCTTCGCTCCACACATGAGCGACTTTCCGCCATTTTTCTTTGATTTCTTGCAGTATTTTTTCTTTCGTGCTCTCAGTTTTCATTGGCTGTTGCAGGAATCCGTTCAGACTGAGTAGTTGATCAGTTTACACAACATCTCGCTCAGTCAGGTTGAAAAAAGGCAAACATGTTTGATAAACTCAGACTGGTCTGAAATGCGATCGGGAGGCCAGAAATCTGAGTCTGCACCCCTCAAACACGACTTGACTCTCTCTCCAACTGTCGACTCCAACTGACCCAAAAATCTGCAGACTAGAGCCGACCAGCTCTGGCGCAGCCAGACTGAGAATCAGGTCTAAAATCAGGGTTAAAGTCATGTAGCGTAGCCAAATGAGCCAAGACAACTGGTCAATGCACCAGTTATGGTTGTTTTTGCATCAAACTGCACATTTACAGGAGTGGACAGGCAGTGATAAGTGTCCGATTCAGACAGCAGCCCTGCAAAAGAACCAGAAATAGCCCACGCACAGCTAACCAGCTATCCAAGGTCCATTTCTGGGAGCAGAATGTCAAATTTTGGCTTATGTTTGGCTAAATTTGGAATTTTAATGACAAAATAATGAATACTTTTCCCAATATTATGACTCAGTATGTAGGAATTATGAATCTTTTTTACCAAAATAACAACTCTCTCAAAATAACTACTTTCTCAAGTAAGTATAACTTCTCTACATTCTTAGTCAACTTCTTAAAAAGAAAGGAGTCACTTTTTCAACATAAGTCAAAATATCAAGAAAACAGCATTATTTTGAGATAAAAAGTCAACAGTTAAAGTCAAAATGTGTACACACTTCTGCCAAGAACAGACAAGTGGAAAAAAAAAAACATCATGCACAAACAATAACTGCTCTTTCTCTTCTCTGTTGGAAATGAGCTTCAACAGAAAATGAAAGCGAGTTAAACGGGGTTTTATTTTGTGCTGGTGACACAAAATTTCAGGAAGGCTCCTGCAGCTATATTATACCAGGAAAGGAAGATAAAGGGGGCGGGAACATGAAAAGGAGGAGAAAAGGAGGAGAAGAGCGATGGTTCCAGGCTCACCTGGCTCCTGTGCGCTGCCAGACTCTGCTGTCTCCATCCCGTCCACACTGTCTTCATCTTCAACCACAGCTTTCCCCCGACCACGACTCCTGAGAGAGAGAGAGAGAGAGAGAGAGAGAGAGAGAGAGAGAGAGAGAGAGAGAGAGAGAGATTTTAACCTAGAGACGTCTATCACTGGCTACACATACACATAAACAATAAATAAAAAACATTACATTTGTGTTAAGAAGCACTCAGAAATTTCCATGACAGAAATCGGAAATTTACAAAAGAAAGAGTCAAATATCACACTTTCCTTTTCAGCCTGTAAGAGAGAAATATGGCCGAAATTCTGACGGTCTACAATAACGTGTTAAAATCTAAGACTTTAGCAGTAATTTGAATAATAATGACATTGAGAAAAATGATTAAAATGCTGTTTTTCCTTTGCTCTTCTGTGCTGGTCAACTCGGGCGCGTTCGAACAGCTGGAGCAGCAGGTGATCAACAGTGAAAATATCAGCCACACAGAACTATTTCAAGATCTCTACAAGTAATATTAGACAAGCAGTCTGTAATTTCTGTTTCTTTTGAGTATCAAGAGGAGACACAACATTCTCCATACAGGTTTCACTGCGCTTGAAAATGCCCTGCGAGCACACAGACGCCATCTGTAGACTCGGATCATGAAACGATTTAAAGAATTCAGAAGCGACGATGCAAAAAAAGTGCCAAATAACTATTTAAAAACAAAGCACTTTAATTTACGATGCTGGATTTTGTGGCAGATGCTGTAGCCTACATACTGCAACTGTTTTAGTATGTTCATTTTATGTAAACTGTTGATTGTCAGCTTTTTTCAGTTTCTATTTTCAGTCCAGTATATCCTGCACTTTTTTAGGATATTTATTGAATGGATCACTAGAATTGAGTGTTTAATGTTGCCTTTATGGTTATATTGCACAATAGCAAATGGTTCTTTTTTAATTTGATATTTTCTTCCGTAATTTGCTTAAATGAAAGGAAAAAAAAACAAGCTCTGTACTTGCGGCACATAGAGTCACATCCAGTGCAAGAAATGATATTTACCACATCCACGATGAAATAAAGCAGCCAACTAAGAACTTGTTTACATGTTTTCATATTTTAATTCTACCAAAGAGACAAGCAGTAACCTGCCGCTGACTCGAGTGAGTCACAGAGAGAATGAAAGAGAGAAAGGTGAACAGCGAGGGATCTAGACAGCATCTGTCTGGAGTTTGGGCAAACCTGACTGAACATCTGTTTTAATCATCTTAAACATTCAGGCCAATAAACTGAGAAATATGTATTAATTTATTTCTAAAGTAAAACATTCTGAAACTTCCTCAAGGAAGTGCTTGAGAGAATGATCAAGAATGTAAAGCTGCATTGAGACAAAGTAGGGCTACTTTGAAGAATCTAAACCAGAACATAGTCTGGATTTCTTTAACATGTTTCTGGTCTCTGCATAGTTCAACTTAGTAATAGTTTTGATGTCTTCAGTGTTTTTCTACAATGCGGGAAACGTTAACAATAACATGTACCTAAACTTTTGACTGGTCCTGTATGCTGATCAGGAGTAATCCATAATAGACCACAAAGTGAAACCACACACAATTAAAACAATAAACAAATAAAATAAATTAGCCCAGGGGTCAGCAACATACAGCTAATTTACTGCCCTGTTGCTCCACAGCTGAATCAGACTAGTAGGTAAAAATAAAATAATCCTCCTTTTAGTAAAATAAAGCTCTGCTGATCGTTCAACACAGTTTAACAGTAAATGGTCTTAAACTCTGGAATTAATGTAGAACTGCTGATTCACCCTTTAACCCTGAAGATCAGCGCAGACTGCTGGTCACCATAGCAACACAGACAACAATCTCGACTAGCTAGTAGCTAACGAAACGGCAAAGAGAGAGATTTAAGACGAACATCGATAATCTGGAGATGAATGGACTTATTAGGGTTTATAATCACTCCAGCTGGTTTCCTGATACGTTTAATCTGCAACGAGAAACACAAAAAGTCACGAAGTTGAAGTCGCATCTCGTTCGCCAGCTTCTTGTTCTAATTGTCCCGTTCCACCTTAAATGGTGCAGCAGTTACATCCTGGCATCTCAGGCACCTTTTAAGGTGGAACGGGAAAAATCGAACAAGAATTCAGCGATTCAGCCTCATAAAAAGTCGAACATTGAGAGACGTTTTACTAGAAACGATTTCATTTTTGAGGAAAAGTTTCCTGCTGGAGATGAGAGAAAAGCAGCTATAGCTGAGCTAAAGCTTAAAGCAGAGCAAAGGAAGTCTGTGTTTTTGTTTACATTTTTATCCTATACTAGTACATCAGCACATACTGATACATATTTACAGCCAAGATGGTAAAATGGACATAAAATGTTGTGGCTCCCAAGGTGGATTTTTGTTGAAAGGACAAAATGTCTCTTAACATTTGGGTTGCGACCGCTGGACTAGCACAACATAACTTTAAAGGTAAGGAAAGGTAAAGAAACCAATGCAGCCGGACGGAAATTCACAACCATTCACAAACAAGTAGAGCAGAAACAAGCAGGGAACTTGTTTATGTTTTCATTTTTTATTGCTGCCATCCAGTCTAGCATCACCCTGCGGTTCACCTGAGTGAGTCATAAAGATCTTTAATGCATGAATCATCAGCGACCATCTCTACCCCAACTTTCACCAGCACCCTGCGGCGTTCTCCCCGTTGCTAAGGAACGTGAAGCTGCTGTATATTTAATTTCTGCAGATGATCAGAGACGAGGCCTGAGAGGTTTTCTCTTCGGTTCATCATCTGGGCAGATCAAACCGAGGCTGAGGAAGACCACGGGTTCACCCTGCGCTCACCTCACAAGTGCAAACTGGCTGAATGTGTGTGTCAGGCGGTGGCGGAGGGAAGAGGGTGACTGAAAAAATTCAACTGGAAAAGAAGATGAACTGGCATTACTTCTCACCGACATCAGAACATATTTGAGCGTTCCGATGGGGAACGTAAACAGAAACAGCGCGGCTATTGTTCTTCTATTTAAAATATTACTCCCCTCTTTCAATCGGACAGAAATTGTATTTGGAATGGTCTAAATCGGACTAGTCCAGGGGTCGCAACCCAACAGAGCCATTTTATCCTTTCAACAAAAATCAAACCACCTTGGGAGCCACAATATTTAATGCCCATTTTACCATCTTGGCTGTAAATACGTCTCAGTATGTGTTAATGTACTAGTATAGGCTTAAAAATATAATAAACAAAAACACAGACTTACTTCGCTCTGCTTTAAGCTTTAGCTCAGCTGTAGCTGCTTTTCTCGCATCTCCAGCAGGAAACTTTTCCTCAAAAGAAGAACGGTTTCTTGTAAAACGTCTCTCGGCGTTAGGTTTTTTACGAGGCTGAAGTCGCTTCGCATTCGCCAGCTTCTTGTCCTAATTTTCCTATTCCACCTTAAACGGTACCTAAGGCGCCAGAATGTAATCGGCTGGACCATTTAAGGTGGAACGGGACAATTCGATCAAGAAGCTGGCGAATGAGAAGCGACTTCAGCTCTGTGCTGAACGATCAGCAGAGCTTTGTTCTACTGCAAAAGAGGATTATTTTATGTTTCCTTACAAATCTAAATTCTGCTGTGGAGCCGCAACAGGACTGTTCCGATTGAGGTGTACACATGGAGGTATTCTATTCTGATTGATTATTGAGCTATTGGTCAGATTATTACCGGATTATCAGGCTGCATGTGTCACTGCTGAAGTCCTTGATCATCCAGTATTGTGCAGCAAACAATAAAGGAGCAGAGTGTTCTCCTGCCTTTTTTAACCCTAAAGGAGGAATCAACATCGCTAAAGCACGCCCCTGATTATCATCCATTTAACGCAGACACCATGACGTTTCCATGGCTGCCTGCTGCCCACTGGCTGTGTACCACTATAGTGTGCTGAACGGCAGTATTTTCATCAGCTGCGTATGAGTGCAGCGTACATTTTTACCTGCTCAAGTGCGCTTTCATCTCCTTTGGCCATTTATCTACCAACAGCCGCGTGTGATGACGGATTAAAATGTTACTAATGTTGACATTATCATTATTTACCATGTACAGCTCTCACGAACCCCCAAGGTAGTCATGAAAAGAGGAAAGGATGCCATTCAAATTCCATTCATATAAGAACTTCATCATCTCAGTCTCTCTCATGTCACATTCAGCTGGCTAGGAAATAATCAGCTCTGAGAGGAATACAGATTTACGCTCTGCACATTCAGTCAATCCACTTTATAAGGTACACCTACTTCGTACCTGCACTCATTGGCCATTTTATCTGAAACACCCACTCTACAGATGCAATTTGTAGGTGTACAATTAGAGACTGCAGCTACCAGCTGCTCCACAATTTATCAGCCCCCACCCTCAACAGAACGGGACCACACCAGACATGGCAGTGTGTGGTGCTGGTACAAATATATCAGGTACAGTAATGTTGCCGTTTTGAAAATATTTTTTTGAAATATGAAATGGTATCAGTATCGGCACGAATATCTACGATCATCCACCAATAATTAATAATAAACAAACTCCAAATCTTCCAAAACATGGCAAAACCTTAGACAGCTGTGCCACTGAGGAGCCCAATATGAGTCGCCTGTTGAACTATGGCAGCTAAACAAGAATAACCTCCTACATGCTATAGCAAAATATTACATATATATATATACATATATATATATATATATATATATATATATGTATATATATATATATATATATACACACACACACACACACACACACACACACACACACACACATATATATATACACACACACATACATATATATATGCACACACACACGTTTATAGATATACAAGGTGATTCAAAATATCAAAATGATTCATTTCACTTCTAAATCATTACAGGACAATGCAGTAAATTGTGGTTTAAATGACAAAGTTTATTATTACGTAATTTTACAGCTTAAAAAAAAACATACAGAAAATAATGCAGACGGGCGCATGCAAGCTCCGCTGAACAGCTCCACCTACAGCCTTTAAACCACCTCTACCGCTCACACTTGCCTGACTTTTGCTCC